TCTGGTATACTGACAATAGTTCATGCATGATCCACATAGACACTGTTCATCGGTCTGGAAATATTTCGATACTAAAGATATTGTCCCAATCTCGGTTGATCTAGTAGATCAAATTATCTGAACTCCAGGACGATTTGAAGAACCTCGAACATCTGGATTACTCGGAAATAGATCATGTATGATCCACATAGACACTTTGAATCTGATTGGACATTTTTCGATACTACAGACATTATTGCAGTCTTGGTTGATCTAGTAGAACAAATCCACTGATGTCCTGGACGATTTCGAATACCTATAATTTCCGGTACACATAGTAATAAGTCGTGCATGATCCACAAAGTCACATACAGTCAAGATTCCTATAGTACGGTTAATTGGGACCATACTATAAGAACCGGCATTAAAGGATACACGTTAGAGCTAATTGGGACCAAGAGATAACTTCCTGATGTCTTCTGAGGAGTTGTTAAGCAGAAAATTGGAATGATTCAGTTTCCGGTAGGACACAAGTCTGATCCTGTGGAAGATCCGGAATATCCGTAAAAGTGGCCAATTCATGAAACTGATCCTAGAGCTCCGCGGATTTTTCGAAACCACTCATAAACGTCTTATCAGAATTAATTCGAATATCTTTTCATAAGTTAATTTCTCGTAAAAACCTTGTTTGGTTACATTAAGAACTTATGATGACGCATACTTTTGCTGAAGCAACCAGGCTGCTATCTTTTTTTATTATTATTATTAGAAAATTAATGGAGATTTTCTTCGAAAAAAATGGTTCTATTAAAATGACAATTTTTAAATGGAGCAAACCGATTTTCAAACTTTTGATTTCATTTAAAAGATTGTGTTTCTTTCATTATTGGTGGAAAAAACTGCGAGAGCGGTTTTTGTTTAAAATGTTTAATTTAATTTAAAAAAAAACTTTTTTTTATCAAAAACTAGCCATAACTTTTAAATAAAAGAGACATAAAATTAGTGACTTCTGCAAAAATATGCTTCATAAAAAGTTTTAAAAGTTTTTAGAACAATGTTTTTACGAGAGGTTAGGGTGGTCCCTAGAAAATTGGTTTTCTTTAAATTTTGTTTATACGTTGATCACCAATAAAAATATTTAAGGAAAGATTTTCTACTCGTTTAAAATAACCATAAGTCATGAACCATAAGAGATGAAAATTTGATGCCATCAGCAAAGTTGGTTAAAATTGATTGTTCTACAACTTTTTAAAACACTTCATTAGTCTATCTCAAGTAATAAAAAAAAGGTTGAATTTTCAATTCACCATTTTAAGGACCACCCTAATTTCAAATCGGCTAAAAATACGAAGAAACTTACACTATATACCTAAAACTGACGGTTTGGGCGCAAACATTTTTGTCTTCCTAAATACGGCTTTAGAACCATTGTGCATTGGTCTCCAGAGTCAATTTTCTGGTCATAACTCCAAATTAATTCTGATAAGACGCCAATGAGTGGTTTCGAAAAAAAGCGGACCTCTAAGCTCAGTTTCAAGAACTGATTTTGTTTATGGATGTTCACGATCTTTCTGGTGAACCATCTCGTGGTCCCAAAGGTCCATTTTCCGTCTAAGCGTTCATATTCCGGTCACAACTCCAAATTCATCCTGATAAAACGTTTATGAGTGGCTTCGAAAAAAACATGGAGCTCTAGGATCAGTTTCATGAATTGACCTCTTTTACGGATGTTCCGGATCTTTCGGTGAACCATCCCGTGGTCCCCAGGGCCCATATTCCGGTCACAACTCCGAAGTCATTCTGATAAGACGTCTATGAGTAGTTTCAAAAAAACCGCGAAGCTCTAGGATCAGTTTCATGAATTGACCACTTTCACGGATATTCCGGATCTTCGAGTGAACCATCCCGTAGTCCCCAGGGTCAATTTTTCGGTCATAACTCCGAATTCATTCTGATAAGATGTTTATGAGTGGTTTCGAAAAATCCGCGGTGCTCTAAAATCAGTTTCATGAATTGACCACTTTTGCGGATGTTCCGGATCTTCCGATGAACAATCCCGTGGTCCCCAGGGCCCATATTCCAGTCACAACTCCGAGTTCATTCTGATAAGACGTCTATGAGTGGTTTCAAAAAAACCGCGGAGCTCTAGGATCAGTTTCATGAATTGACCACTTCTCAGGACGTTGCGGATCTTCCGGTGAACCATCTCGTGGTCCCAAGAGTCCATATTCCGAACACAACTCCGAATTTATTGTGATAAGACGTCTATGAGTGGTTTCAAAAAATCCGCGGAGCTCTAGGATCAGTTTCATGAATTGACCACTTTTACAAATGTTCCGGATCTTCTAGTGGACCATCCCGTAGTCCCCAGGGTCAATTTTTCGGTCACAACTCCGAATTCATTCTGATAAGATGTTTATGAGTGGTTTCGAAAAATCCGCGGTGCTCTAAAATCAGTTTCATGAACTGACCATTTTTACGGATGTTCCGGATCTTCCGGTGAACCATCCCGTGGTCCCCAGGGCCCCTATTCCGGTCACAACTTCGAATTCATTCTGATAAGACGTTTATGAGTGGTTTAAAAAAAAAAAAACCGTGGAGCTCTAGGACCAGTTTCATAAATTGGCCACTTATACGGTTATTCCGGATGTTCCACAGAATCAGACTTGTGTCCTTGTGTCCCAAAAGGTGTCAACTTTCTGATTAACAACTTCTCAAAAGACATCAGGAAGTTATTTCTTCAAATTGCCGTACAATCAGTGTTTGGTCCCAATTAGCTCTAATCCCATATGCTACGTGTATTCGTTAATGCCGGATCGACCGTACTATAGGAATCCGGCAAGAACGAATCCGTACTATAGGAATCTTGACTGTATATACGATTCGGTTATGATTTGACAACGAAAAGTGCTAGGTTCACATTAGAAATAAAAAAAAATTATGAAAACGTCTCACCATTGGACAAAAATCAAGGAATATCCGTGTAAATACACAACCGATTCAATAGAATCTCATAATTTCAGGGTGTTTTAGTATGTTCACTAATTACTAAGAATTTATACTATACATAAATAACTGAAGATAATACAACGTTATTTTAAAAAAATATCAAAGATTTCAAACGATACTCCTTTAGCTCAGTCGGTAAAGGCGCAGCTACAAAGCAAGTTTATGCTGGAGGTGACTGAGTTCGATTCCCGTCCGGTCTATTAATTTTTCGGGTTGGAAAATCTATTTACTTCCTTGGGCATAGGATGGTACAGGCATAGAAAGCTCTCAATTAAAATGTTAACGTACTTCAAAGGACACTAAGTTGAGAGCAGGCAAAATCTAATATGCTACTATATAAGCAATAGGCTGAAAATGCCATATAGTAATAGTAAACAAATGCTATTTTTAGGCAATGAAAACAGTTTTTTTTTGTCCCAGGTTAGTATTTGAAATCGCGGATTTCTTTTGAGAAATCGCGGATTTCGCGGATCAAATTTAGAAAATCTTGTAACAGTCCTATGGCATACCAAGAGATTTCCGCGGAATATTCCAAGCGAATTCTAAAAAAAATCTTTAGGGAACTGAACAAATTCTCGTGAGATAAATTATGAATACAGTAAATTCAAACATTGATTTTTTTTTTTCAATATTCCGTGCACAGAAATTCAAGATCCAGGATTGACAAAAACCTTAAGATTCTGAGACTTCGATTGACTCCAAATTTCAAGATCCAAAACTGTTTAAGATTAAGGGGTTAGAAATTTCAGGAAATTGCAACAGTAATGTACCTATGTGAGAAAAATCCGCTATGGACTTCATTCAATATCCCGGAAATGGTGACATTTTCCAAAATTTGTGTGTTCCAGACATTGCTAGCTTTTTTAAGATATTCTCAGGCTTAATTTTTGGTATCCCCTGTACATCTCAATAGTTCTCCAGTTGATTCACAATCATATAGTCATCACAGTGAATGATCAAACACGGTTAACGTCAGTTTCTTCCTCCTTGTTGGTGATCCAATCCCCCAATCCGCAAACACGTCACTGCTCAGTTTTTTACACAACTTCTTGGAACGCATCGCCAACGATCTACTCCGCCCAACCGAGCATATTGTATGAGGATGCCGCCGTTTGCCAATGTGTGAGTGTTCAAAAAATGACCGTTACTCACCACTCGATCCAAGCAACCCAAACGAGCCGTAACGCCTGTGCTGCCTCGATGAATGACCGCATACCAACCGTCTTCTCGGACTGACGATGAAAACGTAAACAGTCGCTCGGCCGCGTGTACATCTGTTGGTCGAAAAAACATTGAAGTTTCATCATCGATCGCCAACGGCCAATAAAACAATTATTCGCTGTGACGGCTGTTCGCGCAATTTTTTTCCGGACCATTTGAAGGTCTGCTCTGGTGTTTCTTCACTTGTAGCCTGTACGATTCCGGTCATGTGTAGTAAACAAATACCAATCCAAAGAGGAGATAAATATATAAAAAAAGGAGACAAATAAATAGCCCCCTGAATTTGGTGATCTCATAATTCCTTTTGGATATTTGGAGGTTAAAGGTGACGTTATGTTCTTTAAGTTATGATGACTGTGCTTTGAATGGAGATATCCGCTGAAAACGCTGCGTTGCAGCCATCATTCGCTCCATAAAACATTGCTTCAATATCTATGAAAGCCCTACAAAGTAGCTCCTTCAACGACAGCAAGAACCAGTTAACGAGATTTGCATAACAACAAGTTTGAGTGTGTTCGTGGTCGCTCTCGTTGGGCTTTCTTTCTCCATAAAAACGAATCTCGTCGTCGTCTTGGTTGTCGTCGAGTCAAGTTCATTGCTATAGATACTTAACCACTTCCAATTTCATCTCCGTTCGTTCGTTCGTTCGTTCGTCCGTCTTGGTCCACGCGATGCTAGCGCATATCATTCTATTTATCCAAACAATGCCAATTTATTTTTATACCCATCTGCTGCCGTGCCGTCCCGAACGCTACTAACTGATTCCGTTTTCTTTATTCTTCTATTTTCAGCGTGACGACTGTCGCCACCGTTGTTCCGCCGCCGAGGTGCGGTGTGTAGGGAAGGACTTCGACGGGATTTTTTTTTTCTGAAGAGGGAGTCAAGAGAGTAAACTAGTGCAACGAGTGATTGAGTGCTGCTGCTGGTGGTGATTCAAGTAGTGAAGACGTATATTTTAAGTCGGAAATCATGTGGACAATCAGTAGCCGGGACGGCGGGTTCGTCCTGCTACTGCTGGTGGCTGCCGTCAATGTGCTCACCGTGCAGAGCTTGAGTAAGTATAATATATTTGTGAGTCATGTGTGGGTGGTTAACATTAGGCTATCAACTTATTAGAGCTGAAAAGGACCAATTTGGAATTGCTTGAAATGATTGGATTAGCGATATTGAAAATTCTATAATTCAGAACAACTGTGACTCATCTTGCGATTTTTTTTTAGATAACAGGCGTTAAATAAGCCTTGATGATTGAACAAGTACATTGTATTGTAGGTCAAATAACGCTTAATAAAGGAAATGGATTTCAATTTTCTTCAAATTTTCAGAAAAACACAGTTTTTATAGTTCAAAAAGATTATCACCCACAATGATAGGTAAACTTCAGATTGGCAAACTCGCTATAGATTACTCTTGGATTAATAGAAGACGTGTGCATCCATTTAAGGTGTCCCAAAGTCCCAAAATCTGCTCTCCAATGACGGGGCTGGTAGCGAGTCACTTTGCAGTGACTTGGTCACTTTTTCAAGCCAGTCTCCTTTTTCAAGGCCAAGTCACTAAAGTCACTTTTTCGTGTAGTCATTCACTATTTTCAACTTGTTTAGCGTTTTTTTTGTGGCAAGATTGATCGTTCTTCTTGCAGTACGTAGGATCTGATGCTCCAATCGATGCCTGCATTTTGATCTAATTTTCGAACAATTGTAGTGGTAAGCGTGATTGCCTCTCACTCCAAAGGGCCGGGATGTTCTGAGGCATAAAATCTATGATCGCGGGAAGTAAAGCCGGTTCATGAGTTGATGGGTCGATAGGTAGGGTCCAGGTGTGGGAGCTGCCTCCCTGGCGTCGGTAGCATTGGTACTCAGTACGGAAAACAAGGTCAACGGAAAACAAATCAAGGGGGAAAAACAATTCGATGGTGTTGTGCTTCTATAGAGCTTTTCAACGTTTAATCATCTGTCTCTATCTACAGGGTGTCTACTCATTTGGTTGAAGAAAATTCCTAACAACTTTGATGTGGCGTGGAAAATGATTGAACAACGGTTCGAGAACAAAAAGATCATTGCTCGTACGTTGATGGACAGTTTTCTGGACGCTGAGACGATCAAGCGGGAATCTTACGTTGGTCTCATCGACTCGTATGAACGCAACCTACTGCCGCTGCGGAAAGTTGGACTGGAAACAGACAGATGATCTCATTTGCTGGCTGATACTCAAAGGCATTGGGAACGAGCTCACAACTCTCGTGAAGCTCCGAAGTACGGTGATATGTTGAAGTTTCTCCGTGATCACCTTGAAACCTTGCAACCTCTGATGTCCTCGATGCCTCGAGGATTGAAGTCTCCTCAAAATCACGGAAGAACGGCGATTAAGTCCGAATTCGGCTCTACACTCACAACAACCACGACGCAAAAGAAAGCTTGTCCACACTGTCAAAAATCTTTCCACTATCCTTTCAAATGTGATTCCTTTAATAACATGAATCTGTCCCAAAGGCTTGAATCAGTCAAGAAAGCTGGTCTATGTTTAAATTGCCGGGCTTGTCCTAGCTCAACTTGTCGTGTTTGTGGTCAAAAGCACCATACGATGCTGCATTTGCACCCAGCAGGCAACGGTTCCAGTCAAGTATAAGATAACTCGCAATCACAACCCACTAATCCACTATTCCTACACCGCATCCGTAGCTGGATCCTTCAATAGCGCGAATGCCGATTGTAGTGTTGTTCTCATTTCAACTGCTGTCGTCAAGATAGCTGACTACAATGGAAACGTCCAGCTCGCCAGAGCCCTCCTGGATTGCTGCTCCGAACGTAACCTGCTCAGTGAACGTTTGGCGCAGAGATTGGATCTACGTCGGCAGAATGACCCGCTCTCCCTCCAAGGTGTGGGACCTAGTGCTGGAAATTCGAAGCAATCGGCTATGGCACTCATCCATTCACGCTGTACGGATTACGTTGTCTATCTCAAGTTCCACATCCTCGCGGATACTGCCATCAAATCGGAAGACGGTAGCTAACTGGAACATTCCACCATTTGTTCAGCTCGTGCCGATCCTCGTTTCTTCGAGCACAATCGCATCATCGGGGCTGAAGTCTACTGCTGGAAGGTTTCGTCGATCTCGACCCGGAACTGCCCCCACTTGAAGGAACGGTTTTTGGGTGGATAGTTTCCGGAAACTGCAACACGGTGGATTCAAACAGACTACTCTTGTCTGCAGCAATGCTGATTTGGAAAACCAACTAGCTCGTTTATGGGCGATTGAGTCATGTCACTCCAACGAGGCACTTTCCGTGGAAGAACGGAAATGCGAAACGTACTTTGCGCTACCACGACCCGAGAGCCCACCGGACGATTTGTGGTTTCGTTGCCAAAGAAACCAGACGTTCTTGAACAGTTGGGAGAGTCCCGAAGCATCGCTATTCGTCGTTTTCTGTCGCTCGAACGGTGACTTCAGTTGAATCCTGCAATGATAGAAGCCTACGAAGCGCCGATCGACCCTAGCCCGGCGAAAAAACATACTACATGCCGCACCACTGCATCGTTCTTCCGGACAGCGTAACGACGAAACTACGCGTCGTGTTTGACGCTTCGTGCCCCTCAGACACTGGCGTCTCACTAAACGACGCTCTAATGGTGGGCCCAGTCATTCAAGACGAGCTGTATCACCTACGATTTCTAATACCTCGCTTTGTTATCTGGTATACCTCATCGATCGTCTTCTGCAGCGCATCGTGTTTCGTTCCTCGCGTCGACCCCGTACCTTGCGACGCGTTGTCTGCAGCAACTCGCCTCTGACGGCGAATCGACCCACCCCAAAGCAGCTAAGGTGCTATCGAAGAACTTTTTACATCGACGACCTGCTTTGTGGGGTGGCGTCCGAAAAAGAAGGGATCGAACTATGCCGGCAACTGATCGACCTCCTACAATCGACCGGATTCCGCTGCCATCCGACAGCCCGACAAATCTTCAAAATATTCCATCGAAACTTCGCGAAGACCGGAACTTATTGGAACTCGATTCCAGTTGACGATGTCGTCCGCTTCAAAATACCTGCCTGGTCCCACGACACTCCAATAACCAAACGATTAGTGCTTTCTGAAGCAGCACGCTTGTTCGACCCTCTTGGCCTAGTGGGGCCAATCGTGTTAAGATCCAAACTCTTCATGCAGGAGTTGTGAAGAGCGAAAGTTTCATGGGATAACCCACTGAATGACCGCCAACAACACTTCGGAGCGACCTCGAAGTACTCGACTCATTCACCGTCCCACGGTGGGCGACTCCCTGCCTAGATCTTGCCAACGTTGAGCTGCATGGGTTCAGCGACGCTTCCGAAAGCGCATACGGCGCTTGCATCTATGTTCGTACAATGTCGTCACTTGCTCACAGCGAAAGGAACTGATAAACTTGACCCTACTATTCGCTTACCTCGTCTCGAGCTCTGCGGAGCGCTTCTCCTGAGCCACTTGTTTGAAAAGGTGGAAAGCAGTCTGCAAATCAAAGCCCGTCCATTCTTCTGGACTGATTCAACGGTTGTCGTTTACTGATTGTCCGCTTCGCCGTCGCGCTGGAAGAAATTTGTGTGGCCGAAATCCAGCAAATCACTGCTTCCGGACACGTCCCAGACATCGAGAATCCAGCAGATGTCATATACCGTGGAATGCCAGCAATACGAAGAAGCATAACTAAGAAACCAAGAGTTCCGGCTACTCTATCTACGACTGAATTGGAAGATGCGCTGGTCAATTTGGTTAAACTCGCCCAGGAAGAATCGTTCGTGCAAGCTCTGCACTCCATCTGCACCACCGATCAAGTGAAGTCAAAACAGATTTATGACACTTAACTTTACAACACTATTTAAATGAAACAACTGGTCAATGCTATCGATACTTTATTCTAGGAGTTCAAGGAATATATTCTAGTAATGATTTTCACTCATCATTAATGTCACCCGTCTTACGGTACTTGATATGTTTCTTACATCAAACCAATCCTGAGATTGAACTGATTCTTGGCATCCCGATTCTAACTGCTGAACCATGCTCTAAGTTCTTACAATTTTGAAATTTTTGACGTAGGATTACGCCTTTCGGCAACATATTTGGGGTGCAATTTCAAAAAACCAAAATCGACCGCGTTACGAAAAGTGGCCAGGTTTTGACCACTTATAACTCTGTCAATAGTGGATGGCTATTAATTCTAAACAAGCTAATCGATCGGAATGTCATCTACGAATCTGCTAAAATGAACACTTTATCAATTTTAAAAAGGTCACTATTGAAAATTGTACGATTGACTGCGAAAAGCGCTTTCCCTAACACAGATTTAAACATCAAATTTACTCCGGTCTCACCGAACGGTGTTTATTCAATCACCGCGTGTGGTGAGTGGTGGTGTCCAGTGGTCATCATCAGTACCAGCAGCAGTGCTTTCGGCGCGTGACGTTGTAGATTGTTCTCCAGTACACGAAGAAACGCTGCCGGCAAGCGGGAGCTGAAGTCCACTGATCGGTCCATTCGCCGAAGAAGGAGGAAGAAGTTGCACCGCTACTGATCGATTTTAAATGGCTCGTCGTGAGCCGCTGTGGACCATCTATGCTAAGCGCGTCACCGTGATAAACAACATACAGCTCGCCAGCCTCATCTGAGTAAAACACCTTAATAGCACAGCATTACTCAACCATCACGACAAAACGGTTCTTCCAGGACCACCATAAATTTGTTAAAGATTACTTTCTAGACACTTCTCGCGTTACCTTTCAAATAGACCAATCTACATTGATCGATTCCCTTATTCGACTCTCTCTTTCGTTAATAACTTGGCTCCAAAAACATGTTCAGCTGTTATTATCGTCTAATACGCTTAATAATAGTTTCTGTTAATTGACTTTGTAGAAAACATATCCCGAAATAAGAATGCAGCCAAGTTATTAACGAAAGAGAGAGAGAGAGTCGATAAAGAGAATCGATCAATGTAGATTGGTCTATTTGAAACATAACATACTATGTATGCAACATTGGGGGTGCAATTTCAAAAACCAAAGTCGATCGCGGCATGAAAGTGGTCTGATTTTGATCCAGCGATGATGGATTTTAACTCTCAATACACCAATCGATAGGAAATTTTACTACAAATCTGTTAAAATTAAGATTATCAGTTTTCAAAAGGTCACTATTGAAAATTGCACGAATGTGCAACTGTTGGTATGATAATTAAAATTACAATCGATTGCCTTTTTGATGCAATAAAATTCTTCCCGAATATTCTTAAAACTTGTCAAATCAAAAAGCATAAACGTAGGTACCGTCCGGTATGCTCAGATTCTGTGATTGATGTGTTTTCCCTAACACAGATTTAATTTCCGAATGCCAAAATTAATGGGCAGTTCAATCTTTTCAAATTTGTACAATTGTAGTGTGAAGTAAGTGATATTTGAGATCACTGGCTGGGATGCTGGAGAAGGATCTTCAAGACAACGTAGATCATTTGACTATATCCCTTTGAAACAGAGATGTACATTGTTTGTAACGTATTAATTCGCCAAGAAAATCAATTGAGGACTACTATGCAATCGCCCTTCATTAAAATGTTCACCAATCGATCCAGGTGCAACGCATGAGCACCGCTATCATCTCCAAGAACATCTAGGAAACAATTCCACGGCATTGTTCTAAACTGGCTTCCAAGATTTCAATCCGTCGGTCCTTTTCAGGATCACAAATAAAAGAGCTAAGCAAAGAGTCCAAGTAAGAGCTTGTATCTAAGACATATCGTCCAGTATTGGCTACATGGACACCGACAGAGCACCTTAAAAACAGAACTCTCAAATTGCTTCCGAATTTCAACCCATCGAACGTTTAAAGTTATAGCGATTTAAGAAATCAATTTAATATTTATTATACTTCTGTGACATCAAAACTACCTTTCGTAATCCTGCGTCAAATCTACGGTCGAGTCTTGGATACAACCTCTTAATTTTTTTTCGGATGGGTAATTTTTTATAAGCCAATTCTTAATACATAAAATGTTTTTTTTAAATATTTTTTTAGTTCTAAAAAATCAAGTTTCACGGCTAAGAAAATTCAAAAGGGTATGTCAACAATTTAGCCTAGTTTTAAGATCTCGAAATGTAGACCTAAGATGCTTAGAAAACTGTCCAAGTATAGTAATTTGTTGAACGTTTTTAAGTACAACTAAAAGTATAAATCAAGGCGCACTAACACACTTCATCTATGAATCTACATTTACCAATTGACTGATATTGAATGATTAATGTCCAATGCAGAGTCCAAACGAAAGCAAAATTTACACAGAACCATCTGCACTGCTGCAATCATCCATCAAAGCACTTCATATTGACGCAAGCCCAGAATTCCAATGTTCCATGTTCAGTTCACACCAACAACCAACCAGCGCATCCACACTAATGCAATCTCCATTTTCTCTCCCGCAGTCCATTCGCCGCCCCGCATCATCAAGCAGCCGCCAACGGATGAGATGCTGTTCCAGGTGGCACAGACAGGTGAAAACGATAAGCCCTTCATCATCGAGTGCGAAGCGGAAGGCGAACCGTCACCGAAGTAAGTACCAATGCGGCTATCGGGATTCTTCTTGGAAAAAGGAATCGTCCGGCGTCGTTGTAGATAATTAAATCCAAAGCCAGCAGCGTGAGACCTCTGACTTCTTACTATGAAGTGCTGCCAAGTTGGTGTGAGGACAAATTCAATTTCACTCCCACAGATCCTGGTGGCTTTTGGTGGGTTTTCCGATTATGACACTCCTAGCTCCTCCTGGTGGTTGTGGGGAGCAGGAAGATGATCGAAATTTAATTTAATTAAAATGGGATTCCAACCCGCAACGACGACGACGATGGACGATGCAGCAATGACGTTGTTTACAATTTTACGCATCTTCAATCCGGAGGGACCAGGAGGGAGATTTGCTGCTGAATTAATTTCAGGGGAGGTTTTTATGAGGGATTATGAATTGTTCAAACTGTGGTTAGCAACATTGTATAATATGGGAGCTGTGGTCTCCTGGGAGGGATGATGGTTGGGGGAAAATTCCTGATTGCAGAAATCTAGGGGTAACATTCAAATTAACTCGTGATATCTTGGTGAACTAACTGAGGTGTTGAAATCGATTGTTCTGAATGATTGCCGCAACGTTCGCTTTGGCAGACTCATTTTAAAATAGTTCAAGCAATCACTCGAATTCCACTCAACTTTGAAATCCTTTCCATCGTCCTACTGACTGTGGTTGCGGGAAATCGATTCGCACTGTCTGTCGGCCTGTCTCCGTTGAACAAAAGTGCCGGTGTCGGCAGCATACAATCGAAATGAAAATGGGAAAACAGTATGGGAAAGAAATAAAAAATCAACGTAGACGAACTGTCTGCCTGCATATTTTCGGTGGTTTGGCATTTTGCATCGGTTCTGTTCGGTTGGCACGGAGGCAGATTTTCGCCAATGCCACGATCATCATCGTCATCATCACCAGCAGCAGGATGGAAAAACACTGGGAAAACTATTTTCCATTATTTCCGCTTCTGTTTTCGTTCAGCCAGACTAGACCAGACTAGACGGGGCTTGCTCGCCTTTGGCAGATTGGCTTCCGGGAAAAATGTTTGAACCGGGCTGGGCTTGGAGGTTGGGTGCTGGTGCCGTTTGGATGTGCAAAATGCAGATGACTAATGCTTCGGTGGAAAGAAGGATAAAGTTTTCAGATTGCTCGTTGCTGAATCACTATGAATTGCAATTACTCATGCTTTGCCTGCATTCTGGTCATGTGATGTAATATGCTATTCAATCAGTTACCGTTAATTTCTCAATCGTGACTACTGTGAAGGGCGGGAAATCAAACGTCCTAAAAATATAGCAATGAATGCGATCCAATACATCACAGTAAAGGATACAATTTTTACGGTCAACTTCGACAGAAGTTAATGCTTCGCTAATGCTCGTAGCATGACGAACGAACAAAGAAAACAAATAAAACTTGAACCACTAATACCTTCGGATTGGCATTGGCGTAGGTAGATTCTTATTCCATAGGGGTGACCCCGGATTGGTTTCCTACCTGGTGTTTCGAATGGTGCTATAGAGTAGGGTTGTCAATACCGGACCCTTTTTGTGAGTACCACCGGTATTTTGAGAAAATAACTGGAAAAATTAGAATAATAATTCATTTAGAGGAGTCCGCCTTGGTGTACTCGTACTCTCACGCTTAAGATCACTTCTTTGAATTTGTTTCCCATTAAAGTTACGAATAGCCTAAAAACGTTCAAGCAACTATAACAATGAAACCATTTCTAGATAGAGCTGGAATTATGGCGTAACAGCTTTTGTAAACAATGGCTACTCTTGATAATTTCTAGGAATTCAAGGCGCGCCCAAGCAAACCAATGTAACCATCAGGTAGGTGAAATCTTCCCATACCCTATGATGATGTTGATTTGTGTAGGCGGCCCGTGACTTTCTAGAAATCATCGAGATAAGTCATTGTTTACAAAAGTTGTTTCGCCCTAATTCCAGCTCTATTTAGAATAAATAACAATCTCCTGAATATATCATATTATCCTGATTATTTAATTTCAAAACATGCGAAGCAAATTCAACGTATCGTCTCTCATATGAGGGGGTTAGAAGGAAAGGGGTGTAAGTGACTTTGATCGATTCTCTTCATCGACTTTCTCTTTTGATAGCCACAGCTTTATAGACAGATTTGCGCTATTTCTGCCACATAGTTTGATAAAGGAGGTTCTCATCTAGCATCCAGAATGGCACACGAATCAAGGAATATGTTTGCAGCTGAATTATTAAGGAAAGAGAAAGTCGATGAAGAGAATCGATCATAGTCACTTACACCCCTTTCCTTCTAACCCCCTCATATGAGAATAAATACTAGTCAAAAAATTTCCAGACACAGAAAAGTAATTAAGGGAAGTACGCACAAACCTAGAATGTGGGTAAAATTTATCTGTAATCAGCGCAAACAGCAAAACTTAAACACTATTTCATTGGGTATTGGATTTTCAGTTTAACGTTGAATCAAAATGCTACGATGGTTTATGTCCGACGTTTCAGTCTTTGGACTTGACCTTCCTCATGGGATATACAGTTGTACAATCTACCGTTCAGTGTAAAAAGTGTTACGATCTACTAAAACTCCCTAAAAGATCGAAACCCAAACATAATTAATATGTTTTAAGATCTTTTAAAGTCTAGACCTTTCAGAAATTTTTGACCAACCAGCAATTAATTAAAGAAACCGCATTGAAGATCTCACCGATTCCAGCAACTAAGTAGACTGGGGCACCGGTACCCAGACTCGGCGTAGTTGTTCTTCCAGAGCACACGATGGATGTGACCGACGGGGTGAACTACAGTCGAGCAAAGCTTCTCCTTCAACACAGTTCTTAATTTTATATAAACTAGGTGACAACAAATACAAGTAGTTCCATTTTACCAAGCTAATATTCCATGGCATGGGGTTATGATGACTGCCGTCACAATTTTACATTTTTTTACAATTGAACTTGACTATTGAAAGCATTTGTGGCATTAATTCCAGTGCTGATTCTTTGATTCCACTTGTTTTTTTTTTCTTACCATCTCTATTTAAGGAATTCCTAAAGAAGTTCTTCTGATAAACGAGTAAATCTCTTAAACAACTTCTTATTTTGCTTATTCTTCTTCTCCGCATTGAAAGCTTTTGCGTGCTCTCAACTTAATGTTCTAGATGCACTTCCACAGTTAATAATTGGGAATTTCGATACCTGTACCATTTTTGCATTTTCAACCCAAAAAATTCCTAAATCGAACCGGGAATCGAACCTAGCCCAATCAAAAGCAAGCATGAGCACAGACGCGATGACACTGGTCTCATATAGTGGCGCTGCTGGTTGACTGCTGCAGACACGTGATTGGTTAATCACCTGATCCAGTCATCTTTAAGCACGTTGTGGTCAATTTTTCTCACGCGGGTTTGCTTTTGGTAAATTTTTATCAAAATTAACTCTTTAAGGGGAAATTAATGTCCACCTGTCCACATGTCGTGTGTTGGGCGATCGATTTGAACACGTCCGAAGTTCCAAAGGAAATGCGGCTTCAGCTTGTTAGGCTGCTGTGTTAGGAAAGACACCTTGTGGTCTAAGCATATGTATGGGAAATTTTGATGCTATCAATTTTAGTAAAATTTCTTAGCTGTTTAACTATTTTCATTATTTTTACTATATGCCACAAAATTGTTGAATGAAGCCTCCGTTGAATGGCATATTACATGACATATTTCACATTAATGCTTTGGAGAAAGATGCCTTCAAAACCTGACACTTTTCGTTACATGTTCATTTTTCGTACTCGCAATGTGTAGTGCTACGCCAAAATGTTAGTGTACAGTGTGTTTTATGATTTGGTGTGAATTGTTAAGTTCACACTTAGCTTCTTTACTGCTCCGGTCCAGATTTCATCGCTTCGTACCACTACACAATCATTACTTCAGATTCAATTATTTACACTTTTTGTTTTCTTCTCTATTTAATTAATTTTTCATCATCATATTATCTTCAATTTTCTTCCTCTCCGCATGCTGCTAATTCCCTTCGTCATCTCATATTTCCTGCTTCTTGTATTTCTAGTCGCTTCCATATCCTTTTCCTCTCGGACAGCTTCTGCTTCCCCTCCATCATCTTTTCCTGCTTCTTGGATTTCCATCCGCTACAATCTTCTTTTGAAGCGTTTTGCTTGGCGCTCTACTTCTTCCTTTGTATAACCATCTTATTCTGCTTTCTTCGCATCATCTTCTGTAATCTTCATCAGCTTGATTTTCCTTCGTTCTTCGCTTAATCTTCTGCCCCGCTATTTTGATCTTGTTCTCCATTAATGTCTTCTTGTGCTCCCACTTTGTATGTTTCTTCTCCATCATCCTCTGTTTTCTTCTGTTGTCCTTAACGTCCTCTGAATCTGCTTCTCTCTTTTTCTCGTTTTCACAATGTTTGACAGATATTAGCTTCATGCAGAAACTGCAATAACCGCTTTTCACTGTCATCATCGTTGCATAGTGCCGCGTGAGGACTAGTTGGATCGATCTCATGTTTCGTCCTGACTGCTTCAAATTTTCTGCAGTGTAGAATTACGTGCTGGACATCCATAACCGTTCCACAGCATTCGCATGTCGGTGGCCACGATATCTTCAATAGAAACTCGTGTGTCAGTCTGGTATGGTCGATGCGCAAACGAGTGAGTACTCGCTGGTCGGCAGAACTGTTCTGATCGATCCACTTTTTCGTGTCACGTTTTATCTCCTTAAGCCTGACTTCTGTAAGTTGCGCCCATCGTGCCTTCTACTGTTGACGGACGGCTTGGTTCATTGCCTTAATGCCATATTTTCCTGGAATATCGATATTGAGTGGCGGATTATTTCGTGCTTCTCCGGTGAGTCGGTCCGCTTCTTCGTTGCCACGGATGCTGGTGTGGCCGCGTTTTAGCCCGAAACAATGTGCCACTCGATAACATAGTTCTAGTTTAGTGCAAAGCCCGATGATTCTGATTGGAGGCGGATTGTGCAAGAGTTTCTTTGG